GCGACTTTTTTGCCGAAAACTCGACTCATATCGTTCCGCAACCACCGTATTCGCCTGATTTGGCTCCGTGCGACTTCTGGCTATTCAGCAAACTCAAAAGGCCAATGCGGGGACGCCGTTTTAACACGATTGAGGAGATAAAAACCGAATCGAAGAAGGTCTTGAAGGNTATACCGAAAAAAGACTATTCCGACTGTTTCGAGGACTGGAAAAAGCGTTGGCATAAGTGCATTGTATCTGGGAGGGATTACTTTGAAGGAGATGAATAAATAAAGATTGATTTGGATGAATAAATAAAGAATTTACATTTTATAAACAAGTTCACTTTACTTTTTGATCACATTAGTACATATTAAAAGATAATTGCGCGAAGCGTGCCGAGCTGTCTCACGCGCGTAAGACAGCCCAATGCACGCTTATTCGCGGATCCTTGTTAATTAAGATTTCGGTAACTATTGCGAATCTAGCAAAATGGTATAGGATTTATCGACTCAGTTTGACTCTTTCTATCTGTCTACGAGAAATATTACACCAATTCTGGGACACCCTGTATATAATTATAACGTCAAGATAATTAGTAATTAAAGGAAAAAAAAATGTTTCATTAATATACCCATTTTGTACGAAACTCTTCGTTTAGAAGATTTTTTTCCATTTTCTTTAAATCTTCCTCCTTTTTTAACGGTAGATTTTCTGCAAATTTGCAAATGTCTGTTGTATCAGTAAATAATGCGTATGATTCCTGTCTTACATTCTCGGTCAATCTGTTTTTTTTTCAGTTCTTTAAGTTGTATTAAAATCTTGTGCTGAAGATATAGAATTTCTTGCATGTAAGCTGTATAGAAAAAAAGTAATGTTGTAAAACGAAATGACATATTTTAACAAATCATAATTTAACAAACGTCGCAAGTAATACAAATTAAATTAAAAAAGATAAGGAATAGTAATGTAAAAGAATCCAAAATTGTAAAAATTACCAATTTCAATAGGTTTATCTTGTTGTTCCTCAATTTTTTAAATCATTTTCTTTAATGGATCTAAATTTTCCTTTGACGGTTTTGTCATTAGCACGACACTTTCAAGAGCAATATTTGGTTCTGAATTTCCATTTTTTGCAAGTACACTATCGTCTTTCTCTATTTCTGATTTTTATGATAACAATCCAATATCATTAAAATAAATATAGTTAAATTTTGAATATAAAAAGAACATATACCGTCATCGTTAATGTCATCCTCGTCGTCATATTTTTGTGTCGATGAATTACTAAGTTGAGAATCTGGTTGGCTCATGTTTTTCAGAATAATATCGGATTTCCTACCTTTACGCTTACTGTTGCTACATTTTGAACTTTTTGATTTTGACGTTTTTTCCTCATTAGGTGCAATTGGGAATGATGGCAATACTTTAGACGTATTGCGTCTTTTGACTGGCAATTCATCAAAAAAATCACTATCAGAACCGTAAGCATCATCTGAATGTCGTATTTGAGCTCGTATACGCCTACTTTTTTTATACACTTCCGGAGTAATAGAGTTTATATCAGAAAACTCTAGAGCCATTGCAACTTTATCAACTGCTTGTTCGTATGAATCTAAAAAACAAAAAACATGTACACACACATATACAATTACACAATTATAACATTACAATTATAACAATTTTAATATACGTAAATGGTTTTAAATTATTGAATTTGTGTAAAGTGTGCTGTACGCAGTATTGTTTTTTAATCTTATCTGCTTGTCCTACAATTCTCTTCATTTTACATTGTTTCCAGTCTTTTTTTAGCGACTCCATATTGAAAATTGCTTTATTAATTTTTATTTGATTTTGGTAAGGGGGCCAATAACTCATTGTTTGGTCACGATTAAGCCATGTAAGTAGTATGTGGACACTTATGGCGCGTCAAAACAAACTCCCTCTACTTGGCTCCCCCACTACTTCTGGCGCCATTGCCCCACCAGGGTAGTTTTCCTCCTTCCTTGGTGGTGATTGGCCACGCCCACTGGAGGAGATGGAAAAGTGACATGATTTATGACCCTATAAATTTTTTATAAATTTTGTATAAATTTCTATAAATTTTCTAAAAATGTGTATTTTAAATTTTTTTGTTGAAGAATTTGTATGGGAGGAAAGTTCGAGAATGTTCTCGAGTAAGAATTTTTTATTAAAAGAGTATATATTTATTGAAAAATCCGTTTTGAAGCGTGGCTGGTACTGGCAATGGCGGCGCTCCGATGTTGTTGCCTCGTGCATTCAAACGTGTATGAGAGCCAGTTGGCGTCGGTTGAGTGAGGAATTGTAAGGGCGGGGGTGGCATCGGTCCTGAGAAGGATCAATCAGCGTCTGGGCACTTATGGCTCCCAATGAGCGAGGTTCAGGGGTAGTTGATAGGGATAATAGGGCCCCCAAGGAAGGACCAATGAGTGTCTAGGCACTTATGGCTCCCAATGAGCGTGAAGCATAGTTGAGGGCGTCTAGGCGAAATAGAAATCGAAGCAGGCGTCGCAAGATTGTGACTAAAAAGTCAGGGATGTAATATAAAAAATAAATGTATGTGTCCGAATTTTTTCTGAACGATTTTCATCTGCGCAAACTTGTACGTGCGGGTTGACACGTGCGTGCCGATGAGAACATAAGTTTTTTGAAGACAAAAAACGGTTTATGACTCGGGACCGTTAAACCTGCACGTGCTTGTTCGCGCGAGAAATTTCAAGAAATTCTACGAGAGTTTTCGATGGATATTCAATGTAGACTAAAATGTTTATAAAAAGATGTGAGGAGTTTAGGAATAGGTTTCTTGGGAGGAATAACAGAAACCAACTTAGTACAGTTATTCGATATAGATATATTTTGAATACATAAAAGAAATACAAGATTATAGTTGATTTTTTTTTGTTTTACAAGTACAGTGTTGAATGTAGTGTTCAGGAATGCGAGTTTGTACATTGTTGGATTTTGTAGAGAATATTTTACGAAATAAACATACAATTAATTTGTCGTTGGCGTCGAAATTTCCGGAAAACAGTTGTAAAACTTGGGAAAGGCTATACCCGTGAGCCATAAAATAGAAAAACACACAGCAAGAATGCCTGCACGTTTGCGAGAAATATCCTTGAAGTTAAGTCGTGTTCCATGTGTGCGTTGCGGAATTTTTTCGAAGTCGCAGAAGGAAGCGGGAATCTGACGGCGGTATTCCATAGCTGTCGAAGTAGGTGGCGTGTCTGTTTCCATTGAGGAAGAAGGCAACCCAGTGAGTTCCTGGTTGATTGTGATTGTCTGTAGCGACAATTGCTGTCCACTTCGTCCACACCCTGGGCAATTTGTCGGCTGGATAAATTCCCGTGTGTCCAGATATTTGCAGTTGTTGCAAGGCTTGCAATATTTCTTTCGTATTCATTATTTCGATACAGATAGTCGCGAGAACGCAGAGTGAATCTTATATATTCCCCTTGTACCTCTGTTTGTACAGCGACGTCGTTTAGGCAGGAGGTTTTCGGTGGGCAATCGTCTTCACTGCGCGTATCTTCTTCTTCTGTTAGTTGTTATTTCTCCTCCTCTGTTTTGATGTCGTCATATTGTATTATGCTGATCTCATCGCTGACAAAGCCGCTATCGAGATGTTCTTCAACGCTGTTTAGGTTTAACTAGCGTTTTAACCGAAAAGCGTTACGTAGAGCGCAACTAATGTCCGATGAGCAAACTTTGTGATACGAACACTGAGATATGTTCTCTTTGCTTCTCAAGATGGATTTGAACGACGGAGAAAGAACTTCCAGATTATATATGTTTTTAGACAGAAGCTTTTCTAAGAAATCCATGTTTTCTTTGCCTCTGGTGTAGATGACGGGAGCGTATTTGGTGACTTCTCGTAGATGTTTCGTGAGATATTTGAGATTGGTTTTACCGTCAAACCATTCAATACCGTGATGAATTTGTGTAAGCCAATCGTTCATCGTTTTAATTTTTGTGGTAATTCGGTAAACGAGAACGGAGGCATCAAGATCCAATTTCCGAAAATTGGTCGGTCTANCGCGACATACGCCACTTCTTTTGGAATAAATTCACACACGACGCCGCGAAATCCTTGCATTTCTATGATCACAGCACCTTTATACTCGGACATCGTGAAAACAAAGCGAAGATATCGGAGACTAGAACGAAACTGAAATTTCTCCACAAAACGCTTGCGACAAAAGGCGTAGAAAAGTGGGAAAAATGTAGTGGGGGAAAATTATCTTGTTTTTACGCATATGCGAAAATATGATTATCCGTTATAATCAACAATGATTTGGCGCGAAGAATCGATTTCCAAAACACTGTCGAATTCCGCATAAACAAGACAGTTAATAGTCGTTTCGAGAGCTTTTTCGAACCGTGCTTCAATTCGCAAACTACCGTGCTTCACGAGATTCCAATGTTCGACGCAATTGGCCGATAAATCGGGTGTGAGATCAAAAGCAAAGAGTGTGTATCCGTATGCATAAGCATCTCTGCTTATAGCATTGCCTTCGTTTAGAAAATGAATACCCGTTCCTAAGAAAAGAGTATGAAAAGCCTCTATGTAGAGAGAAGAATCTCTTAAGTTTACTATCGCCGTTAAACGCTTTATTTTCGACAAAACCGATTATCACTCGCTTCGGCAATTGCCCGAGTATGGCGTTGTCAATTGATTCTCCCACCACTCCTCTATGGATCGTAAACAATTTAACTTCAACTCTCGTGAGAGGATACTTTGCAGTGGTTTTGCTCAGCATTTTAGCGTGAGCTAATAAAACTCCAGCGCTTAATTTTGCTTTCCTCATGATCAAGGTGGCATCTACAATACAAACTCTTGTCTGCGGCGTAGATTCCATGAGACAGAAAGAATCCTTCGAGCGGATGAGTCTTAAGCGCATTTCCACGTCATTAATCAAGAATTTATCCTGATTGAAAACGTCGCAATGTAGATATCCTATGAGATCCACAGCCCGGTTATTTTGGAAATACTGCATACGTCTCACGAGAGCGGGTTTCTCAGTTGGAGCATCGAAGCCATTATCCATCAGCCCCGAAGGATCGCTATCCCATAAACAGGTGGTGAGATGAAAGGGTTTTGCCTCTGAAGAATAATTCAACAATGTCTCGAAATAATCTCGATACGCGTAAGCATTGTTCGGAGGCGACACAAGCTTTTGATTAAAGTACACATCAATTTGATTAAACATGGAATGTAAAAAGTTATTCACAGGCCCTACTTTATGCTCTGCAGTAGCAGAAGCTGTAGCCGAAGTAGCCGGAGTAACCGCTGCGGGGGTTTGCAATATCACGCGAAGACTGAGAAGAGTATGCGAGATCTATGTAAACTTTGTCATGTCCCGGTACGACAAACTCTACGGGAGCGTCGTCCGCAAAAGTCGACAAAGGTTTGTAATGAATCCATTGCGAACTATCGATACTGGTCTGAGTGGGCGGTAGAGTGAAAAGATCAAGTTCGCTTTTGAACACTCACACGAGTGAGTATGGAGAAAAGACATTTTGCTTCGTCTACGAGAATATATTGCTCACGGTTCGTTTCTTGCTCACGCGGCGTTTGCTAGTTTTTGTCGCGCGCTTCTTCTTTTTCTTCTTCTTCTGAATTCCTCTACTCGTTGAGCGTTTAATTGCTCAAGTTTTCTTTTTTCTTCGCACGGAAGCCGATTTCTTGTTGGTGCTATTAGCACGACGGCGACGCTTGATCGCGAAGTAAACGGGGAGCTCACCAGGATCAAACTGACCCGGGCGTTTCTTCGCAAGGGGTATATATCCCGCCCCTCGCATTAAGCTGGTTATTTTTTCTTTTGTTTGTTGTTTGAGATTGTCACGTGATTNTTTGAAACGACTGTTAACTGCTTCTTTTAGCGGAATATTGTTATCCCCCACATAGTCTATTATTCTCACACCGGCGCGTAGAGCTTCTTTTCCGATCGCGTGCGCTCTGCCAGCTAGGTAGGGAAGCACCTTCCTGAACAATCCGCCGAAAAAGCGTCCGATACCGTGACCACGCTGATACGTCGATCCCGTGAAAACTCTCGGAACACCGCCCCCGCTCTGCATCTCGTAATATTCCATATAATGAGCCATATTCTACTCAAATACGCGTATAAAGTGTAACGCTACCGTCAACGTGCCGAATTCGAATGGAATAAATTTACCAAACTGATCTCTTATATCTATTTCTATCACGCGGAAATTTGTTTTACGAAGCGGAATATAATTTTCAGGCGAGTAATGTTTTACCTGATTAGAACCGTACTTATCCGTAGTATTGTTAGTAACGATTCGAAGAAGCGGTGTTAGCGCATCTCCGGTTATGTATGACTAGCAAATGTCGCAATAAACAAATAACTTGTCGGGGATAGCACGGGCCAAGCTGATTGGTTCGAAACTATCAACACCAGCAGCTCTGTCTACTACAAAAGGTGTATTAACAGAGGATGATTCAAATCCGAGTATACGACGCAATTTGTTGCTAAGCTTTACTATGAATTTGAGTGCATTTGTCTTCTTTACATGTAAGCAATATAGAAACTTTATTACCATATAGAGGATTCAGTGACATGTAATATGTGATTTTTCTTGAGAGCACGAATGATTTATAGCTTCTATAAGATCAGCTTCTGAAGAATAAATTTCCGACGAAATTGAAATGTTAACTGACAAAATATCGCCGTTAGGAAAGGTATTCGCGAGCGTTATCAAAGCTTCATCTTCGCGTAAATGTAAAAAACTAGAAGGAAACTGAATCTTGCTGAGAGCAACCTCCCATTTTCCCTGCAAATCTATACGGCGAAATAATTCCGTGGTAAAACACGAAGTGGTGTTGTGCGGGAAGTAAAGCATACTGCTATTGCTCGGGAGAACTACGAAAAAGTGTTCCTCCATTGTCATCATCATTGTCGCCATCATTGTCTTGTGCAAGCGTTGTTAAACTTGAAGCCGGAATCCACGAGTTGAATTTAGACGGATAATCTTGCCAGCTAATTAGCAGTTGCCTATTACGTCCCCGACCTTTGCTCTTTATCACCCGATCAACAATGAAAGTTTCTTCTTGTAGGTTTTTAACAACAGGAGCCAGTTCTTGCTCGTAGAAAATTTCGTCTATAACTTCATCCGCTAAATCACTCAGCTCGTAAACGCGCGGATTTTGCCACTCAAGAACACAATGTATTCGAAATATCTTTTCGCTCCACTTGGCCTCGTATCCCTTCTCAAAGGCGGCTTTCGCTCTACTGACACGTACGAGATCGCCGACGGAGTATTTAGCTGCTTTTGCTGGCTGTTTTTTCCAGCGATGCCACGTGTTTTCGCGCGCAATATTCGCGTTTTCCATCGTAACATCCGCGGGTTTCATGCATATGGAAGAGTGCGGCGTATGGTTGTACGCGTGCACAATATCCTGCAAGACGTCGAGGTAACGTTTCGTGTTTTTGTGCGTGAAGTAGCGCCACATGCGCTTTTTTAGCGTTCTATTGAAACGCTTGATCACGGCTGCTTTAACGTCTGGATTACGCGCCACACGGAAACAAATTCCTTCTTTCTTGAGAAATTTTTGCAGCGGATGCGCGATAAATTCTTTACTTTTGTCAGTTTGCAGATATACGGGTCTTCGTCCGCAACTTCTCGAGAGCACGCGTTGAAACGCACGAAGGACTTGAGCACTTGATTTGTCTCGCAACAGTTCCACCCACGCGAATTTGCTGAGCACGTCGATAACTGTCAGTAGATAGCAATATCCGTTGTTATAGCTTCGCAAATTTTGTAATTCTATCAAATTAGTTTCCCAGAGATCGTCGATATTCGTCACGTTGTAATGCAGTCGGGGAAACTTTCGCCGCACGGGATGATGTAGCGTGTAAGCATCTTGCAAACGAAGCCAGCAAACAACGTCCTCGCGCGAGTAATTCGGTTTAGCGGCTCGCGACAAATTTTCCGTCGACGAGTAATCGGCGTAATGTGCGGAATTATAATACAACTTGTCAAGCGTTTTGTTTACATTTTGTTTCACGTGAGCAGCAGTCTCGGAATCCCGATTTGTACCGTTTTTTGTTCTTGTCGGTGGCGCGGTAATCCTATCCTTTCTCTTCGGCTTCTTCTTGTTCAATGCTATGCGGAGATTTGCGCTTTGTTCTTTTTCCTTCTTTTTGCAAAAAGCGTAAATATTCAGGATTTCCCATGTATTGAAGAAGCTGTTTATGTCGCGAAGTAAATGAGCAAAATGAATGGCCCCCATTATTCCAGCGGTTTTTCTTTCTCGCATTGCATTGTTTACAAGTTCCACAATATTCGTTCCCACCAATTCTGGACTTTTGGTCACGACGTCGCGTCCGTTCCATGTGATCTTGACGGGAACAGCCGTTTCGATCAGATGATTCAAAAGCATTCGCGCTTTGGGGCGGTAAGTTTTTGGAATTGTTTCTATTATGTTTGTTATAGTTTTTTGTTTGCGAGAGCTCGTTCCGCTGCTGTTGTTAAATGAAATATCTGCAAACAATACATTTTTTTTGGAGTTGACTGATTAATCCGTTGATATTGATTACTATTATTATTGTGTCGCAAGGGTGTTGAATAATGTTTTGGTAAATAAAAGGATGTTTGAGGCAAAGCGTCTATTGGTTCTTCCGCGTCGTGAAATAGTTCTCTCATTTCCTCGTCTTCTTCCTCCTCTTCCCCCTCTCCACCAGTTACAGCAGTTGTTTCCGCTACGGATGGATCTTCTTCTTTGCGAGAACGTTTTCTCGCTTTTCGAATAAAATATAGATATCGACGAAGTACTTTGCTGTACAATTTCCAATTTTTACCTTCATCAACAGGGGAATCGAGAATACGTCTCATCTCCGCGTTGAGACGCGAGAGCACGGTTCCGGGAGTGCGTGTAGTATTAGCAGCGGTATTTTCCCCCGCCATTCGTTGTTGCATTCTCTCGAGATTATCCGTGGAAATCAGCATCATTTTTTTAGCCCGTTCCATGATTACTCGATAATTNGAGATAATAAAGCTGCGAGTATGAGCCCGATGATGTACGGTAAAAAGCCTCCTTGTTGCACCAGCAGCTTTCTCTTGCACCTCCAAGTATCTCTTCGTTCCGCGATACGTCGCAGTGCCGTTTTGTATCGGATTAGGCGGTTCTTCTCTCTTTTTTCGAGCGGTACGTTACCTCTGAGCGTATTGTAGACACACCCTCAAATACACGCGATGAATTTGTTATCAGCGTTTCGCAGAAAAGCAGCGCGTTGATTTTTATTTAGAAGACACAGAACCTTTAGTAGACAGATGTTTTTTTCACCGAGAGAGCGCTTAGCTCTAATATGCGCCTTTTGTTGCTTCTTCCGTTGCTGCTCCTTCGTCGCCGACGGCATCGTAGCTTCGAATGATGCCCTTCACGCGTGTGCTTCGGATTTTTATACGCTTGTTTTCACGCGAGGGATTTGCGGAGTATGTACACGTAATGACGCGGATTGTTGAGAAAACTACACGTTTGAAAACGATATTCGTTTGGTGTTGATTGTTTCAAATCGAGCAGTAAATAACCGTGAGGACGCGAAGTGGCGTCGTAGTACGCCTCTTCCAAAAACTTTGCGTCGTCGAGATAGACTTGACGCGCGAGATGGCGAATTTGCGCGCGATTGCGCGGGTTCTTAAAAACCACAATGTAATTTGCATTCAGCGAAATATCGCGTTGACCGCGTCCCTGATGAAAGAGATTCTGTGAAATAAATATAACACTGAGATTTTTATGATGGCTACCCTTGGTAAACAAATCAACGATCGACAACGTCTTTGCACTATCTTCGCACGACGACGATTCTCGCATAAGATCGTCGATTATTATTAATTTCGCACAGAGCGGGTTGTTCGAGTAATCTTCCGGGCGGGGTAGTCCTTCGCGAAATTCGATTTTACATTTTTCCGTCGTCATCTCGCGTTGCAACTCGAGATAAGCTTCTTGCCACTCGCCGTAATAAAATAAAATTCTCCCGAGTCGAATATTCGCCATTTCCGACAAATAACGGAGAAAAGTCTTTACAAAAATTGTTTTCCCGCATCCCGTAAGTCTGCAAACAATCGACGTCCAGGGATATTTTCAGCGCACGTCTATTTCGAAGACTGTGCGAATTGCCGCTTGTAATACTCTTAAATTAAACTGTTTTGTTTGCGACGACAATGAGCTCACCATCGCGCGTCGGGCCTCGCGGCGGCCGCGGTTCAGCGCGTTTTGCCGCGACAACGAGCTAATTTTCGTCGCGGCAACGGACGGTGAGCTTATTCCGAATGATTGAAAAGCTGTTTTCATGAAAAATCAGCTTATTGTCGCGCGCGCAAAAATAAGCTCGTCAAACGCGCGCACCAATATAAGCTTATAGCTTTTTGTTGAGGTTATATTAAAAAGGCACTTTCTAAGGATAAAAGAAAACAGAAATCGGGAAAAAGCAATCTTTTAATTTTGTTTTAATAAAAATTTAATAACACTAAAATATTACGTTTTACAAAATGTGTACATATTGCTTAATCTACTAACATTTACAGAAAATCTCGTATATTATAAGCTTATTTTTACACGCAATTGTTAAAATAACTTATATATTTTTTTTTTATTGTACAAAGCGCTTGCTTACGTTATGACCTATTTGGACGGAAAACATATATATACAATTTTTTCTAACTCTTACTAATACGTTTAAAATATACAAACTATTTACAAGAGAATGCGCAGAAAAAAGCCTTGTTCCAAGTAGCCGTATAGAACGGAGCGTCGCTCGTCGATAAATCTACGCTTCAGCAAAACCGGCGAGCAGATTTTTTATTCGTCCCGCGTCACAACCTCGTGAAACGCGGTGCAACAAATCGCTCTAAAATGCAAATTTATCGACACATTTTCTTATTTTCTCTCTCTTTGCATTAACATTTTCCTAACGCTATTGATTATGCGGGAGGTTGCGGAATTGAGAGTGATTTCTTTGATTTTATACACCTCCCGCGCGCCACCGTCCGGAGTACGAATTACGTACGCGTAAAATTTCGGGCTACCGAATACAAACGACTCGATGTAACTACCACGGCCGAAGCCTTCGAGCTCGTCCGTC